TCACAGCTGGAGGGGACATCTCATCCTCAGAGGTCTAGAGCTGCTAGACCGGGTGGGAGTGACTTTTGAGACGTTGATTCTCTGATGTAAAAACAAGCATATTGTCTATGTCACCATGAACACAGCCTAATATTTCAGAGCAAAGATTTACAGCTAAACTATAACCAGAATCATAAAACTCTCCAATAAAGAAGAAAGTGTGAGAAGTGAAGACAGCTTAGAGTGTGCTCAACAGCTCTGTGCTGACGTGGAACCTGACCTTAAGAGTTTGTGAGTGATGTCCAGACACTGTCAATCTGTAGGAAGGGAAGGGTGAGGCAGGAATATAATTTGAATGATAGACCTCAAGGGCCTCACTAGAAGTTTCTTAGTTTAGACAGAATGACAGGGAACACTGAAGTTTGCACTCACAGCACTGTGACCAGTTAATCAGCAATTTCTGGTGACACTCTAAGTAGGCCACATGAGGACAGCAAGAGTAACAGGCGCCACGCTGATCCCACCGACACATGGGAGCTTCCTCAAGTGGACACACCAGGGCTGCTTAGAGACTGCTGTACCTGAGCCTCAAAGTGACCCATACAGCTCCCAGCTGCACTACTGGTCCAGCTACTTGATCTCCCTGGTTCTCATCCTCCCACAGAAAGTAAGCAATGAAAAGATTATCATCTCATTGACATGGGGACAATGCACACATACACACATCAGAAATGTAGCCAAACATCATCCCTGGAAATCCTGACCTTTTCTACTGTCTTTTCCAAAGCAGGAGCTAAAACGTTCTCATGGCTTTTCACAGAAGTGCATGCTCAGCTGACTGCTATGTAACTTTATCCAGAACCCATGCCTTTTCAAGTTCACAGAGATACTAAAGAAATGGAAATATATGTTCTCTCTGGAGTAGGCCTGCTTCCTGAAGACAATAAAGACCACTAATAAGAACAAACAGCTGCGATATAAAATAATGCCCACACAAACTTCTTGACAGGCCTCCCCCGAGTATCTCCCCAAGAATGCACTCACCCTCCATGCTCACGGGCTCCTCTATGATGTAACACATAGAAAAAAGAATTCTGTCCACTGTTTTGTCAGAAATCTGTCCACAATTGCCCCAAATCTCATTAAAATACATTTTGTGATTAAGAGTGGTATTTCAAATGTTAGGTAATTTAACCCATGAGAAAAAACAGACAAAAAGATTAACCTACAGAAAGATCTAGAATAAGCATAGAAAATTATTTTTATAGAATCAGCGATCAAAATTCATTCATATAATCTCCATCCATCAACCCATCCACTTAACTACCTAGAGTATAAAACCAGCTTGTCGTGTTAGGAAGTGCCCAACAAACATCCTAGGTGAGTGGAGGGTATGGGGGGAGGTGCAAGAGGAGCAGGCAGGACACACTTGGTCTCCCAACGCACTCACACTAGAAAGCTCTGGACCTTTGTCTACAGGGAAAGCTGTCAGGTATTCAAGAACCACTTGTTTGGTTTGCATTTCTTGAGCGACTCTGCCCTACATCACAGTGTTTAAAGATAATCCTTACTTTTGTCTTAAAAACAGAATTTATTTTCATTTTCACTTAACATGTATTTATATATGCCTACAGTAGTGCAGTCCACATGAGTGCAATGCCTACAGGGGCCAGAAGAAGGCATCAGACCCACCTGGGCTGGAGTTGGAGGTGGGTCCAGGCAACTGAAGTCCTCTGCAAGAGTTTATGCTCTTAACTGATGAGCCATCTCTCCAACCCTACTTTTGCCTTTTAGGGAATGACCCAATCAGACTGCACAGCAAGGCAAAAGTGCTAGAGAATTAATGAAAACACCTAGAAGCTAAAGGCATAAAATGCTTCTTTACATGTTTTCATGTCCCAGCAAATCTACTTTTATAGTTAAAAGAAATCATTTAGTTAACTTCAATCTTCCAAAAATCTTTTTGAACCAGGAAGTCATAAGACATTTAAAATATATACCACGCAATGTAGGTTGCAAAACTGTTAAAACCAGTTTTTCTAGTCTTTTTGATGGATGAATAGGAGAAGCGAACTGGCGGCAACTGCTAACAATCGCTAGTAACGCTGGGTATTTGCGTGGCTTCACGTCTGCAAATCTTTGAGACAGCAAAGTGAGACAGTTTATGAATGTGCTTTCCTGATTGTTTGGGCAGCTTAAGGGGGGATGGGGGGAGGGAAAGAGAGAGAGAGGAGAAAGAGAGTCAGTCAGTCTCTGGCCAGGGAGAGAGGTGCAGGGGCACTGTGTGCAAGAGCAAGCAGGGCTGCTTCTGGACCATCCAGTCGCGGGCTTTCTACTTAGTGAGTTTTAAATGGCAGCTGAGTGTGGTAGATGGCGCCTGAAATCCCAGCTCCTGGGAGGCTGAGGAAAGACTCCTGCAGCGAGGCCACCCTGACCTATAGCTACATGTGCGGAGGTCGGTCCCCACGCTGTCCCCAGTCATTCCCCTGGGAGCTTGCAGGCAGGCTCTCCTTTGGAATGCGCACCTTGAAGCAGGAGTGGTAGGATCACAAAGTGCGCTACCACATCTGGCTTTTTCAGTGGGCTCAAGTCATCAACCTTGTGTCATTGGACTTGTGAAGCTAGCAGCTTTACCTACAGAACCATTTTATTTTAAACTTATTTTAGTTTTTAATGTAAATTCTAAGCCATAAACTAGGCTAGCAGTCATTAAAACTGCTTAAGGATTTTAAGGAAACATTCTATAAACATGTTACCCTTCTTCTGAATATTTGTATTTAAAACTGTTAAGCCATAAACCAAATGGTTAGATGCACAAATATATTCTAGTATAAACTCAATGATCACAAGCAATCCATTACTGAAAAATACTAGGCACCTACTACCTTATAAATGGTAAGTATAAAGGTACATTTGTTCATGTGTATTATGTCTGTGCTCTCATAATGTGCAGAAATAAAACACCTTTGATCAGAACTTCATGCATGACCTTAAAATACTAGTAACTCCCTTCATGAGCACCAATGATTCTTTAGACAGACGTGGTGACACAATCCCAGCACCTGGGAGACAGAGGTAGGCAGGTCTCTGAGTTCTGTCTAGGCTAGTGTGGGCTATATAAGACCCTATCTCAAAAAAAAAAAAAAAATCACCTCAAATATGAGCTCTTTGGAAGGAAACCAACTCCTTTACTGATGTTTCATGACACTGGCCTTCCAAGCTCTTGTGCCGTACACAACGGACCACTGGAGTAAAGACTGGAACAGCAGGTCCTGGAGTTATACTAGATTACTAAAACTGAGTTGTTCCCTAACGTCAAGAGTGTTAAGAGGCTGTATGGTTCACTAACTCACTGTCAGCTGGATAGGACCTGCCACCAAGAAGACACGTCGCTGGGCATGTCTGGAAGGGCGTTTCTAGACAGTGTGGAGTGAGATGGAGAGACCCATCCCATGGGCTGGGGTCATCAGGATCATCATCCTTGTCTTTAGTTCCCACTGTGGATGCCACGTGACCAGCTGCCTCCCACTCCTGCCACAAGTCTTCCCCAACAAGAAGGGCTGGACCATAGAACTGTGACCCGAAAAGAGCTCTTCCTCCCGTAAGCTGCCAGTCAGGTGTTCTGTCAAGGCAGGAAAAGCACCGGAAACAAGCAGTGCTCCTGAGAACACGTCAACGTCCCAACAGAAGAGCCTGTTTGAGACATCACAGCAGACTGCGTCGCTTATATATAACTTACAGAGACGTCAGCAGTCAGTGATGGAACAGACAGCCCAAGAGTCACGCCTAGATTTAAAATAAAATGTATTCCAAACGAAGGAAGGCCTGAGCCAGATGCAGATGGGTTTCGTAGCAGGTGAGACAATTCAGACATTCGTCCTGGAAATCTGATTCAAATCAATCTTACCCACGTCTTAACACCTGCTCCTGGCTGAGCCCTAACAGTCGCTGCCCTTAACTGCCAGCCACGCCCATGGCTGACGAGTCCTCCTTGACCAGCTGCCTCTGCATTTGCCGCTCTCCGCCTGAGAGTGTCTTTTCCTTGGACTTCAAAGCAGGACCTATTCCAGGGCACCTGTTGTTAGACAATCTCGAGGGTCTCGCAGACAAAGGGAAGACCCTCCTTTCTGTTGGTCCCTGAGCACCTGTTACCGCATCCCATACGGTTTTTCACCTCCATCCCTTCTCAAGAGATTAGAAGGGTTTGGAAATGAGGAAAATATATTCATTTATCTTCTAATTCTTAGGTCTAAAAAGAGCCTGATATACATTCCAGTAAAAAAAAAATAAGAAAAATCAATATTGAGCCAACAAGAAAAGTTAAAGCTACAATTCTCTCAATCAACAGCAATAAATTCGTACATAAGGAAGCAGATAGATATACAATAAAAGTAGGTGTGTCAATAAATAACTTTTTGGTATTATATCTTGAAAGATTTTTACATTAACAAGGAACATGTGAGTTAGAGTGTAACGGTCTAGAGACACCGAGAATCAGCTGTGTTACAAGGGAACTAAGCAACACTCAAGTGAATGCTTTTCAGAGTTCACCAATCTCTAGCTTCCATGTTTCCACAAAATTATGTCCAAAGTAAATATACATATTCTTTTGCTGTAAGTTTAACCAATTAGGATAGAGATCAAAATAGAAAAATAGGGGCCTTGAAATGCTTTTGAGAATTAATGCATGCCGTGAGGAGAATGAATTCAGAGAGAGGACAGTGAGGAGTGGCAGAGCTTCTGAACGAGAAAGAAGTCTTTCCCCAGCTCCCGTCCTTTGCAGACGATGAAGTCCCACCCCAACTGCGGGACGCATACACGCCACACATTTTGGGGTCTGGTGAAATCTCAGTGTAATCTGTATAGCATAGCACACAAAGCAAATGCCTGCTTTTGAGTACATCTGAGGTAGCTCCTTGAGTTCAAAGACAGAGCTCTGCATTCTGTATCAAACGGTGATTAGATCATAACCACATTACAGCCATGCTGGGATGAGGTTTCAAGTCTTGGAAAATCCTTACCTAATCCAATCCGGTTAGGACTTGTTTCTCGGCTACATCCCTGACTCCTGGGGATCTTGCTTCGTTTTTCTGAAGACAGTGTTACAGGTGGGCCTCTTGAGGAACCCCCAGCAAGTCCACCATAGCCGCTTCCCAACAGCTTCCCTGGGGAACTTGACCGGCTGCCAGCTAAAAATGAAACAAAATGATGGTGAGATGGATCTAAATCAGGCAACAACTCAGAAACTAAAGACACAAGCTTTCACATATGGATTTGCAAGAAACATTGAGAAAGCAATATACAAAATAGCATTTTAGTCGGTAATACTGCTTTTTAAACAGAGGACGTAGGATCACTGTCATAAATACACAGCTTAGAAGGCCCACGAGCAACTCTCTAATGAAGAAGCTGATGAAGACAGGATCACCGGCTACAAAGCAGAGCTCTACACATGGCCAGAGACATCCGCAAGGCTCTCCCACTAACCACACTCACCCTAAGAGCTGACTGCCTAAAAATTAAGTATAATCACTGGAGAAATAGACTTTTAAGACATTAACTTAGGGAAAATGGTTGAGAAAACTTAATTAATCTAACAAATGGAAGAAAGATGTGGGCTTAAAATGACTAGAAATGGTTTTTAAAAATCATAGCATAAGATGGTACAAATAGACATCAGTGCTGTAAGGAATGTGGCTAGACACCGCTCATTTATTAAAAACAGCAAGTTTTCAGTCTGCTTATTTTTTCCTCACTGGAGATTGAGCCTTGCTGTGCTAGCCAAGTGCTCTACTACTGAGTTACACCCCCAAGCCTCAAGCTATACACTGCTAATAAGAATCAAATAACACACTTAAAAGCAAGCAACAAAACAAAAAGCACAAACACCGGTAAAAGGATAACTGACCACGAAGATAAAAACAAACTCCAAACAACATAGCTTTGAGATACTAACCAAGAAAAAGAATATAGGGAAAGCCCTAATTATTAAAAGACCCCCCCCATACACACACAAACACACAAAAGACGCTATAGAAAGCCTAATAAGTCTCAGAGAAATAGGTGGGGCCAGGAATCAAACTTTTGTGTGCAGAGTGGTTGACAGCAAACATGTATAGGATGCGTATAACCAGGACATACAACGAAACGCCTCTGTTAGCAGCAGATCACCTGTATTCCCTGGTAAGGCTGTGGCAAACAGTCTGTGGAACTACACTCAACGGCCTAATAGTTCACAGTGTGTGATTTCACAGGCAGACTCCCTTTACATATGTGGATATCCCAAACACTTCTCTTCAGTTTAACACCCATATTTTATAAATACTAGCTGTATACTAAACCTCAAAACAAATCTCAGAAAACATGAAAAAGAGGAAACTACATGGGCCACAATGTCTGAGAAATATGCAGTAAAGCCAGAAATCAGAAATAAACAATGGGACTGCTAATCTTTATTAATAGCTAAATATCCAGATATGCTTATAAGCATTTAATATGGGACAGAACTCTCTCATAGAAAAGATCAACATTCCAAATATTAATATACACAAAATGATTGCCACTTAACAGATCTCTCCCTAAGTAGAGAAGGCAGTAAAATTTTAAAACATGAAATCTAAAGTATCATGAGGCAGAGCAGAATTACCTTCAGGAAAAAATTAAAGCAAATAAAACCTTTTGAAACAATACTTACCCACAAATTACTGTTTCTTACAGAATATCATCATTTAAATAAGTCACTTGGTTGGCTACACAAGAAAATTAATACCTAATAATGACTAAATTATACACAATTTGGAAGGGAAATCATTGTAAAAGTCAGTAATGCACATTATTATGAAGAACCAACCCAAGACTTGAACATAAAAAAAACTATTAAGCTATGTCAAGGGCAAAAAGAAACGCATTTCAAACTCTAGTATTTGGACATATAGAAAAATGCAGAGAGATTAAGCATAAACAGAGAAATTAACATTGCACAAAGAGCACGGCTGAGGGAGAGTGCCAGTGCCGACAACAGAAAGGCAAGAGGAGAGTAGCTTACCACCAGCAGGGTTAGCAGATCTGGATCCTTCGTTAGGAGAGCAGACCAAGGGACAGGCAAAAAGTGGATTAAAAGACAATAACACAATACAGAAAGTCAGCATGCGACACAGCACGAACGGTTTGTTCCCAAGCACAGTGCAAAACCGCCACTGTTCCAAGGGCGCTTTGTTTTACACAGCACACAGTTTTAGCATCTGTCCCAGGTCTGTTCATGAAACACCCATCTATAACGTGTCCAGCTTAAGAGATCTCCCAGAGCACACCTCCTCAGCTTTCAGCAAGAGGGATACAAGCAGAACCTGGTCACCTGTGCCCACCTCCATCTTTAACAAGATGCCAGCGGCCGGAAGAACACTGTTATGAACTGTTTTCACCCTTGACTGGCTATGACTTTCCTTATCTTCAAATATGTAAAGTATTTCAATCCTTAAGGGTCTTAAATCTAGAATTAACAAACCTACTTCATTATCAAACCAGGACTATAAATGTTGCATGCCCACGTTTACAATATAAATAGATTTACCTCATTCAAATCGTTATTAAAATAATGAATCTGTATGTTTAAGTCTGGGGTGTAGGTTCAATTATGTGCTACTATTTAGTGGCTACTGTTCCTGTGAGTACAATCTGGCCAAAGTGGACCTGAGTAGTCTCAAGGTCCAGGTCAGTATGTTCCTGAGCTTTAAGACTTAAAGCATCTTCTTCTCTCCTAAATCCCCTAGAGAAGCAATTTTCAACCTCCTTCTAAAGTCAGGTGACATTTGGATTTCTAAAACCAGAGAGACACAGCACTAATGCAACTGGGGTGAGGAACCTGGTAGAGGACACAGCCAAGAGCTAACAAAAAAGAAACGTAAGATTTCCCTCAACCCCCATTCCCCACAGAAAATCATATTGCAAAATGAATTCATAACAGGCAAATTTTGACTTGAGAGATTTCAAGGAGTAAAATCTATTTTAATTTCTAATGCTATCAACATGTGTGTGTTTGCGTGCATGTGTTATATGTTCCTGCATATGCAAGTGTGTGCGGAGGCCAGAAAAGGGTGCTGGATGCCTTCGTCAGCCACTACCTTTTGTTTTCAGACAGGGTCTCTTACTGGGATCTGAGGCTCAGCAATTAGACCAGACTGGTTGACCAGCAAGCCCCAGGGATCCAGCTGTCTCCATCTCCCCAGTGCTGGGATTACAGGTGTGTGACAGCACAGCCAGATGTTTATTTATGTGAGGACTGGAAATCCAAACTCAGGGCCTCAAGCACTGGAGACAGAGTCATCCACTAGCCCATGAAATAGGAAGCCCTTGAGAAGGAGACCAAAGCATGCCTGGAATGCTCACTCTGTAAGCCTACCTAGCAATGTGGTCACACAGCGTCTCAGAGCCGCTGCAAGTCTGTCCAGCTATGGGATGTGCTACTAGGGGAAGCTAAAGTAACCAAAGCATAAATAAAACACACTGCTTACGCTGAGACTGTGAAACCACTTTGGCGCGACTGCGGCCCCGACTGTCCGAGGGTGTGGAGGCGACATTGGTGGCACTCCCAGAGCTTTGCCGTCTGGTACGGATCCGACCTGGAGGATACAGGAAAAACAGTGTTTTCATAACATCTTCAGCTAGTGTGACCTATGTAAGAACCCACACCACAAGCACAGGGCACTGACGCAGCTGACCACGCAGGAAGCAGGGCGTCTGTCAGCCAGGCCCCCATGAGAGTGAGACACCAGTAGGATGAGCAGGGATGAATGTGGTTTCGAATTCTCCACAAGGCTTCTCTGCACTCAGGGAAGCACGAAATGCCTTTCTCTATAAGCCAGCCAGAACTGGGCACGACTGGCACCTGCCCAGCACCAGAGGAAGAGTGCAGAAACAAGTCCTGAGGTCTGAAGAAGGTTTGAGAAAGTGTAGCACTGAGGTGGAAAGGAGACGCGAACAGTGACCTTCAGTCAAGTTTTAAGACATAAAAGCTGGGTACGGTGGCACACCCCTGTGATTCCAGCACTTGGGAGGTGAGACAGGAGGATGTGGAGGAGTTCAGGCCACTCTTGGCTACACAGTAAATCTGAGGCCAGTCGGGGCTAAATTTACTGCTGGATGTTTACTAAAAGGCTGCATTATTTATTCTACTGAGAACTATGACTGTCTCTGTCAAGTACACAGCAATGTATAGACAAGAAAGGGCAACCAGGGGAGAAGCACACCAGTGCCACATGCCTGGCATAGGTGTCTGTCCGAGGGCCAGCTGTCTAGCCCCCAAGAACCTCTGCTCTCTGTAGGCACCCAGCAAAACCAAGGTGATCAGGCAAAATGAATATGGAAAAGCAATCTATTTTAAAGTTATTACAAGCAGAATACTCAGGGCACATATATAATTTTTTTTTTAAAAAAATGAATACCTACACCCACAAAGCTGGAAGAATTAAATCCCTCTTGGAGAATTCTCACTCCCCAGCATTTGGTAATATGATCCTAAGGCCAGTTTTCAGGAATCTCAAATTTCTTTCTTTCTTTTAAGATAAATATACTTGCATGACCAAGAAAAAATATGCCAGTTTTGTATGTTTAACATTAAATTATAGTGTGATTTTAAAATACATTGCTTTACTCAACAACTTATTTGTGAGTACACTCGTGTAATGGATTTTCCATATGGACCAAGGAGAGAGTTCACCTTTTCCAGATGACTAATTCTCAAATAAGTCTTCACAACTCATTTCTTACTAATCTACAATGCCTCCCTTTCTCAAAGTTCTACTTCAGTTTCATACTCAGGCAAAGATACTTTAATTACAAAAGGTACTTTTAGATTTTATTTTGTTAACATATAATGTGTCATTCACATATATGTATATGTACATACACAAACACACATGCACACACACACATACTGTTTCTTGAGACAGGGCCTTGTTAGATAGTCAAGTTGACCTGGTATTTGTTATATAGTCCAGACTGACCTCAAACTCACAGCAATCTCCTGCCTCAAACTCCTGAGTCCTGGGATTTACAGTCATATGCTACCACACATGGCTTTTAATCATGACATTATGACTTTAAGTTTAGGACTTCTGCTAGATGGATTAATCTGTATGTAGAGCTGGGGTTACAAAATAAGCCAGCTATCAATTTTTTTCTAATTACACATTTTCAACTATCTGCCTTCATTGTGTTGCCTTATTCATGTAACACAAAGCAAAATAGAAACAATGAAGTACTATTGACTCAAAAGAGATTTTTTTCAAAATGCTGGATTTAGGGGTACAACTTACTGACAGACTATACAGGCAAGGCGGGGGTTCAGTCACCTCCCCCTGACACACATGCCCACAAAATGCCCTCGTCTTTTTCCAGTAAAGTTGCCTTTTGCTGACCAGTGATGAAGGCATATGAATCCTGTCTGTACGGCAGATTCATGCTGGTGAATGCTCATAGGCCCCAGGGTTTTGCTAATTCCACCTGGACCCTGTATTCATGGTGTCTGGAGCGGGTGACTGCATTGCTTACTCTGGATTGGCCGGGTGTTCTCAACCACGAGGATCATTTTGGCCACTAAATTCTATATTTTTCACTCAATAGAAAGATGCAAGTTTCGTATTTCTTTTGAGCAGCTAGAGTAGGTACTTCATATCCCACCACTGGCTCTAACGACCTGGAGTGCTCATCAGCGCAGCGCCTGCGGCCTGTAGTCTCCTACCTGGTTGGCAGAACACATGGAAAGCCCAGTGGACAGAGCCAAGAGCGGCTCCTCCTGTGAAAATTCAAGAGTCCTCATAGGAACTGCAAACACAAATCACCTAGTTCTACAGCAAGGGGTGTCTCCAACCCCACAACAGAGATGGGACCTTCCGCCTACTGTATGTACAGAGCTTGGTGACAATCAATCAGAAAAGACACTGAAGACAGCAAGATGATCTGAAGAGAGTCTTTCTGCCTCGACCTTCTCATGGCCATTGTCAATGCTGGTTGGCTTCGGGCCAATGTCTTGCACCTTGTTTGAATTCGAGGTCTGGTTTTCTGTGTGCTTTGGCCTCCCACTGCTATGCTGTAGGGGCAGCCTGAAAAGGCCTCTTGTTGTTTTTGAACGTTTTACTTTTTTGGGAAGTAGCTACATAGTTTGAAGGGTCTCTGTTGTGCTGTGTTCAGATATGGGTGTCTCCTTCACAGGAAGAAAAACTGGTTTCTACTCTAATTAGTTGGCAATTATAAGTGCCTGGATGTGTTAAATATTTTGTGGTCTTCAAGAGAATCATAGCTACTGCACAAACACAGCAAACCACAAGAAAATACTACAATTGTGTACTATGAGTAAATGACAGAAAACCATGAGAAAATACTTCGATTGTGTACCACAAGTAAGTGACAGAGAACCACGAGAACACACTTCAATTGTGTACCACGAGTGACAGAGACAAAACAAGTGTGGAAGGGGGCAAAGCCAACCTGAGAATAATAAAATGAAATACCTGCATAAGAATGAAGGAAAAATCATAGAGTTGGAGGAGCCAAGAATGCACCAACTATATATAAAGAGAGAAGAGCAGACACTGGGAAAAGCAAGGAATTTAGGAAGAGTTAAGTCTTCAGCTTTCATGGAGTCAAGGAAGAATATTCCAATTTCACAGCATTCTAACACTGCTAAGAATTCTCATTCAGTCGTGTCTTCATTCTTCTGGAAAAGACCCTAAAACATGGAAGCCCAAAGTTGTGTTCTAAGTGTTCTTACAGGCATGGTTCTCAACAGTCAATTCAGCCCAAAGCTTCTGTGTCTGATTCTAAAGATGACTGCTGAACTTGCTGACTTGAGTCAGCTCAAGTCTTGCCCAACGAATCTCCACCTGGAGTTGGGAGAGAATTTGTGATCATTTCTACAATGGCTCCAGACATACTCATGCCATCTTGTCCAGCGGTAAGTGGTGACCTATGCAACGATCAATCGGCTCAGAAAAGTGCTGACAGTGGTCTCTGTTCTGCACTACAGTTATCAGGCATGGTTTCATTCTTTACAGAAAACTAAACAAGTCCATTTGCCTCTTTTGTATACAAGTGGGCTTCTTTCCCCATCAAACCAAACTAAAATTTAAGCTCTTTTTCCTAAGTAATTTTTTAGTACAATCTTAATTCAGCAAAAGTTAAGCTAACCTGGCCATGTGTGTGTGTGTGTGTGTGTGTGTGTGTGTGTGTGTCAGGTGCATGTGAATGTGTGTGCACATGCATGTGGAAGCCTGAGTTGACACAGTGTCTTCCTCAATTGAGACAGGGTCTCTCAAGTGAAGCCAGAGCTTGCTGATTCAGCTAGTGTAGCTGCCAACTCAATCTAGGCAGCCCATCTGTCTCCCAAGAGCTGGGATTGCAGGCAGACAGCTGGCCGGGTCCGGCTGACTTGTGTGTGTGTGTGCTGAGGATCTTAACTCTGATCCTCACACCTGCGCAGTAACCGCTTTGTCCACACTGAGCCATCCCTCCGTGCCCTCATATGTCCTTTGGCCACCACACTTAATCTGACTTTCTTGGTAGTTGTTGTTTTGACACAGGTCTCTCTCTCTGTAGCATGGGTTGGCCTTGAACTTGCTGCAATCCTCTTTGCTCAGCCTCTCAAATACTAAATATAGGATTGTGCCACCATACCCAGTTTGGCTTTCTTTTTTTTTTTTTTTTTTTTTTTTGTCTCGGGCATTAGAGATTGTAAAATATTTACTATATTTAAAGGCTCACAGCTGGAACCTAGCTCAGCAGTAAAGTAGCTGCTTCTGTGCTCACACATACACTCAGGTGTGCAAACGTATCAATAAATAAATGTAACTCAAAACCATTTTAAGCCTATTTCTCTATTTTCCTTTTTGACTCCTGAAAACCCAGACTACGGCCTCAGGAACAGTAAAACTGAGAATGTAGCTCAGGTGGCAAAATGCTGGCTCAGCACGCTCCAAAGCCTGCCTTGATTTCCAGCACTGATGAATGCAGACACAGTGGTGCACAACCGAAACCCCAGCCTCGCTTGGGAGGGAATCAGATCATCAGGTCAACTTTGGCTAGATAGAGAGTTTGAGGCCTGTGTGGGCAACATGAGACCCTATCTCCAAACAAAATGAAAGTATACATAAGAATACTCCGCTGGGCTGGGGAGAGAGCTCAGTGGTTAAGCACTCGTCGTATCAATGTGCCAACCTGAGCTCAGGCCCCAGGGATTCCACGTGATGGAAGGACAGAACTGACTCCCTTGGGAACTGCCCACCACTTGCCCCACAGCACACAAACCTGCACTCACACACACACTATACACACACTAATAAGGAACTTTACAAACTACAGAGAGCTGCCCTGCTCAAACCTAGGCTCCTTTACATGGTAGCTACCTCACAACTACAACTGAAGAGACTGCTCCCCACTGCTGCAGGCAGTCTGGAGGTCTGGGGCCGAGCACTTCCTCTGACAGGCAGTACTTCACACGCAACTGTGGAAGTAGTATCCTGCTTTCTCCCAGAAACCCTGGGAGAGGTACGGGGTCTACCCGCCGATAATGTAAGGCACTGTTAGCGCAGTGCACCAGCTGGGTCTCAAGGACAAAGAACAAAGCAAGAACTCAGCAAGAGCTTCTTGGCCTAAAATGTGGATCATGGGGAAGTGGACATGCCCATTTCTCTCCGTGGTGTGGACTGCAGAGCTCAGCAGAGAAGGCTCTTATCATGTGACTGGCAAGAGGATCGGTGTGCACAGATGAACAAACAGGGGCACATGACATTTTCACAAATAAAAACAATATCCCATAATTCAGCAGTGTTCTTCATAGGAGAAAACACACCATTAAAAAAATGTCTTTATAGCTTAGTAGAAAAATTTCACCAGCATTGAACCCGAGTACTTGGCCCAGACATTACTTTCAAAACTGGAAAGATGAACCTGAGAGGCCCAGAAAGCACAGAGAAGAAAGTGGAGCTCATGTCGGGGCTTCATGAGCAATAACCAGGGCAGCGGCACACAAGGTGGCGTCCGATATCCTCCCCAGTGTGGCCGCAGCACAATCGCCGCCCTCAGCACACTTCAGTGCCCTGGTTCATCAGAACAGAGATTAAACAAGAAAGGGAAAGAACTGAGGTGGAGGGAGGGCTAGGAGCCGCTGGAGACAGAGTGAAGAAGAGGGTGGGGACACCGTGCAACACATCATGCAGGGACCTCAGTGAGGACACGTGGGCACCAGGAAGCACTCGGTGGGAACAAAGGACCAGAGAGACACACACCTCAATCACAGAAACAAACCGCTTACCCTCCGCTTTACTGGTAGTACCGTCTTTAAGCCAATTAAAAAACAAGGGAGGGGACAACAGGGAACAGTTAGTAACATTCAGGAAATTAAAAAGCAGAATGTTATTAGCTACTAAAAAAGCAAAATGTACACTTTAAAACAAAGCCAAAAGGGAAACACATTCAAACGCAGAGCAGAGCTGGAAGCCAGCGCAGTGTGTCCTCACCACCAGGAGTTAGCTCAGTCTGCAGTAACACAATTTGCCTTTGGAAAGCAAAACAGAACAGTGGCCCAGAGTTGTGTCACAGTCGACAAGCGTGACTCGGGACCTCCGTTATGTCAACTGCACCATCCTCGGAAGTTCCCACTCCCTGAAAGTTCTAGCAGAAGGGCGTAGAGCAGCGACTAGCTGAGGTTCTACGGTCACCCCAGAGCAGAGTCGAGTGAGAAGCTGAGAGGCTGTAGCAAGGCCTATCCCGACTACACGCCCAGCACAGCTGTCCCTTCAGTACCTGCATCCAGGCCTACGTACTCCAAGTCTTCCCTCACGTGTCTGGACTCTAGAAGTTTGGAAAACGATTATCAGCTTTAATGCTCCACTGTGACGAGTCAAGTGCTGCAGTCAAACCTACGTGGGGCCTGGGCACAGTCTCAACTGTGTACTACTTCGCTTTGGGGTCAAGTAGCCGGTGGAGGAGGGGCAAAATCAAGGACACTGGAGGTGCAATTCTTAAGGGGAAGAGGGAGAACAGTGAAGCTGCAGTCTTGCCTGGAGAGGATGCCCTGCACTGAGAATGTCCTCAGGGCTGCTGAAGGCTCAGTTGTCTGTCACCAGACCCAACTCTGAGATTCCAGCAGCACTGAGGAAATCTAACCAGGCTTCAACCAAATACCCCAGATGTGTACAAGTCAGCAGTGATCCCGGATATGCCACTAAAGGTTGGCACGAACTCAAGTCAAGCAAATGCTAACTAAAAATACTAACAGTGGGGCCATTACTATGGGAGGCAGGGGCAAGATGATCTCTGTGAGCTGGATGCCAGCTTGGTCTACACAGTGAGTTCCAGGCTAGCTGGGGCGAAAAAGTAGGGCCCTGTCTCAAAAACAAAAACAAAACAAACAAAAAAACAAAAGTAAATCAAAAGTATTGACACCCTGGTAATACCTAGATTACAGCTCGTTCACCATGGGAGGGAACAGCCCTGGCTTCTCCCTACACCCAGTATTACAAAACAATACCTTAATATGTATACATTATTGGTGTAGTAGTTACCATGGGGAAGAAGACTGCCCATCCTGGGTCTTTTTTCAAGAGAATGTGCCTGGACACACGGTTCCAGGACATACACTGTCTCAGGTTGGTAGGGTTCTTATTTCAACTCTCCTTTCTTCTGCCTTGAAGGGCAATCATTTACAAAGGACCTTCAGGCAATTCTACCCACCCTCAACATGTGCCCGAGCCAGATGGCTACCATCACCATGAGGTCACTGGCACAGAAACAGACTCAAAGCTTCCACAGCCTGCTCCCTGGGACAGAGAGAGAACAAGGGGCACCTTCTTTGGCTACCGTTCTGTCCCCATGCTTCCAGTCTCAAAGCACTTTAGAACTGGCAGTGACCTTGAAATTCCTAATGGGCCACGTGAGCAACTTGGTTCTGGTGTTAAACTTAAGCTAAGTCCTCAGGTTTGAGAACTGAATGACCATCTTGGCATTTACAAAAATATAATGAAAACACCACCAGCCCAGAACAGAGAGGGTGTTCATTGTCAGCTGGCAGGAAAGAAAGCATCTATCATTATGTTAGATACCAGAAATTTGGGAAATAACCATAAACAATCCTTTGGAGCATCACTGGAGAATGGGTGTACTCGCCTCAGGAAACATGTAGGCAGAACACTAGCAGAACTGTGCTTAAGTTAGCTAAAGGTCCATTACATTCCTTCAGAACCCCGTTACCCCTCCCCCACTAAGAAACACTCAACTACAGGACATGTGAGTCCTCATTGACCATCTGGCTCTGTCCCCACCAGTGGGAAGGGGAAAGCCAGTGCTGGCTTAGGTACGGGCATGAGGACCGCACAGCCTGAAAGCACACATGCTTTACAGAACAGGCTGATGTTCTAGAGAAAGGGGACACCGGATAGGACACTGGACAGAGGGTGGCTGGGAAGTATCCCTTAGTGCCATTACTTAGACTTTAGACCACCCTGCAACAGTGAGGCTCCCCTCAGCCAGAGGCCTGTAATCACTGGGGCAGGGGGACAGGAGGGAGCCTGGTTACCTAAAGATGCATAGGACCCTGGAGGCAACGCTGCTGCAGAGCTGAAGGCGGTGGAGCCCGAGGATGAGGAGACTTTGGATTTGGCACTGGCTGCTGCGTTCACGTCAATATCGCTTCGAGATCGCTGGAGGGATCCTGTCGTTGACACAGATTTGGTACTAACTGTAGAGGCTTTAGTGGTAAAGGAAGAGAAGTCAGGAAGGACGACCACATGGAAGTTCAAACACATCCTGTTACATGCTGCTCTCTGCTTAGCTTAGAGACAAACACTAAGTTGTAACATATGTTGGTGTCCATGGGTGGAAGGAAATACCTCACTGTCCCCAAGACAGGTTCACGTAATGCAAGGAAAGACATAGTAAGCATGCCTGTGGGGTGCCTACTACTGTTCCAGTCCTAAAAACAGAAAACTATAGGTCTGAGGTTATGGCTACATATGAAATAAAGTTAGGTGTTCCCATCCAGCTATGCCCTCTCTGGAAACACACCCTTTCCCAGCTTCTAAGCCACTAAACTGCTGCCCTCACTCTCCCTTTATGTGAGCCTAGGAGCAAAAGGACTGGTGGCTGCAGGGGGTGGGGGAAGAGAGGTCACAGAGCCGGACCTCTGTCTGCCTAGCCATCCCAACAATGTCAACAACCAGTCTGGTGTAGTGGAGCCCTGCCGTGGAGCCAGAGATGACAGGGTATATGAGCCCAGCTGAGTGGGGATAAAGGCAGGCCCCAGCTTCCTGTCATTGAACGCAGCCTCAGGGCAGGAACAGTCCTCCCACCGAAGCGGTTCAGTGACTCTGTGGTTCTGTGGCTGATCTCTTACCTCTGGATGTGGTGCTGCCGGTGGGACTTCTCTTGGCAGAAAGGGGCCGGCTGCAAAATGCACACACGTGTTACCAAAGTGTACTTTATCTGCAGTGACACAGTACAGCAAAGTGTGCCCGTGGAGAACGTCCAGGGTCTTCAGAACTTTTCAGGCATTACTTTACCAACCTCACATCTGACAGAGTGCTACCATTATGTTTGGGATGAATGACCTTTCAAACAGAACAAAACAATAACAGGGACAGAGGTCAAGTGCAGGGCAGACATGCAGGTGCAGTTCTGCGTCTTTCCAGGCCTGTCTCTGGGCACGCTCACATGCTCTTGGAGGACTCCTTATGTGTACAGTTCACGATGCTCTACAGCTCTATGCTCTTGCAGAGGGGAATGAGTCTGCGGCAGAGTCCAAGGCCACGTTTCTCACCTCCCCGACAGTATCTGACCTAGAACCGGAATCTACTTTGACAGCTGGGACGCTTTAGCAGGTACCCAGGTGAAAACAGTGTGCGCTTCTGTGTAGCCAACTTTTAATAGAGCAGACTGCACTGTAGGCAGCAAAGCCAAAGCCCTTACTTGAGACTCTCCTGAGAGCTGGATGAGGATCGGTCTGACTGAGGCAGAGACACGATGCTGTCCGAGTTCTTCAGGTGGGACTGCAGGGCCTTCTGGTAGGAGGACTCCAGCGTGTGGTACAAGTGCTCTGCTTCTCGGCTGAAGTGACTGTGGAAACCCCAGTAGCATCTAGGAAAAAGACGAGCCCCGGGCAGGTCAGGAACCCGCTGAGCGCAAGTGTGCCTCTTGCAGCGTTTCTGGGGTTCGAGGCCTCCCTTTATCTGCTAGGAGGAGCAACGGGGCACAAGGCCAGAGAGCTAGCAAAGGAGGCCTCGGACAAATCCTGGCTTTACAACGTTCAGCTTAAATCTAAAAGGCCCTTTTACTTCTTCACTGATGTGGTGGTGGGGTGGAGAGGCCACAGCACACTTGGGGACGCGAGGACAACTGTGGGAGTTAGTTCTCTCTTTCCACTATGTAGGCTCTAGGGACTGAAGTCAGGTCAGCAGGCTTGGGGGCAAGCGCCTTTACAGGTTGAGCCATCCTGTTCCTTGCCAGCTTTTGATACTGGAGAAGTAACTTAACTTCTCTGAGCTGTTGTCTCATTTACAAAATGGGAATTAAAGGTTCTAACTTGGAAGTCAGTAGGCCCTATGACCTCTGGGAAGGTACTGGATTGAGGGCCATAACCACACGACTGAAGCATTTTCAGTTCCACTGGGAGTCCGAAACTGGACATTATCACCATGACAATCCTGGCATCAGTCAACCTAACTCCCCCTCCCATAATTCAAGTTTTCAAACAGGATGCCCAAGAAGAGGATACTCTGTGGCTGTCATCTCCCATGGTACTGTGATCAGGAACACCGAGTTGTACGGCTCTCGACAGCTCAGTAAATGAACACAGCGCACTACTGACCATTTCTGTTAAGTTTGAAAACAAGCATCCTACTGTCAACCTCAGTACTATTTATATCCCGTTCCACTTAGGCACCCACCTAAAGAGCAAAACATCCACAGAAACTTAAGAGAAACACGCTAACGTGGACTTCTGGAGTCACATTTAACAGTTACAATTAACAACATACGCTTGATGAACCAAAATGATTGAGTAAGGTAAACCATACAGTGGGTTGGGTCTGAGGGCTAATATGGGCCAATAGCAACTTACTTTCTGGCTTCTATTCTTGCTTCAGAATCGGCATCGTGGATTCCTTTCTTTATCGTTTCCGCTAATACTGATATGTGTCTAGACATTTCGGAAAGAGAGCAGTGGTAGTCACTAAGCAGACAACTATAGTGGGTGAACACAGGCTTGTGGAATCAAGTTCAAAATAACAATGAAGGTCTGGTGGCTTCGTGCCTGAGTCAGTCAAGTAACACAGCTGAGAGGCTAAGAGCACGCCCCACCCCCTCTCGCCAGCGCCCTCTCTCCCATCCCATCCTACTCTCAAAGAAGGGTGTGGATAGCACTACTTTTAAATCACAACGACTTCTTTGTGAACCATACGTATTTAGCTTTGGGAAGCAAAGAAGTTCCACACTCTCCATCCACGATCCCGTCATTCGTAGCCAGCACCTCAGTCAATGTGGCGTGCCTGTCTCTTACCCTCTGCTTTCTTAAGAGAAAAATAAATCTTGGGCAGGATGACACAAAGATGTCTGGGACAAAAGTGGCCAGCGATGTGCACATTAGAATGGGAAAATCTCCTTAAACAATAAAGACAGGATTTCCCACAAAATGCTGTCTTCATGACACCAAACACCTCTGCTCTTTTCTCAGCTGGCGGGCAGCCTCAGTTTCTCAAAACCAGGGCTTCCGATTAGTTGCTTAGGAGTTTGGGCTGAGTCTTAGTTTTGATTTCTATCATCACTGGGATGGATTTCCTTGCGTCTATTATCACTATGATGAGACCAACTGACAAACTGTGATGCCCACTCAAAACTGTGTCTCCTAACTCAGAGCGCAGGTACCTGAAACAGACAGGAGCTAAAAATATCAAACAAAAAAGAACAGCACGTGGTTGTTTCGAGACCCTGACACAGCGCTACTTTTAATTCTGATATGTGAAAGCAGTCAGCTACAGCCTGCCATAAAAACAGTGCTGACCACGACAGGGTGAATCGTCCTGCAAGGCATCAGAAGAGGACAGCAGCGCTCAACCCTCACTAAGCTGCAAACAGAACCTGCACCACTACTGCCCTCTACTGTGTAATAATGGTAATGCACACTGCCAGCTGGAGACATATAAGTTTTGTTTTATTTTTCCTAAGACATGGATGGCCCTTAGCCCAGGCTGGTGTTAAACTACCAATGTATCTGAGGATGACTTTGAACTTTTGACCTTCCCTCCCTCCTGTGCTTCCCCCTCCCCTGCTTCTCTCTCTCCCCATTCCCTTCTCACCTCCTCCATCTTCTCTCACTGGGGATTATAGGCAGTTTATTTAAGACTGAGGATGAAACTCTGGGTTTCTTATATGCTAGGTAAGCACGCTACCAACTGAGCCACACAAGCTATATCATACTAGTGTCTGGAAGGATGACATCCCTAAAGCTTCTCCGCTATGAAGTGGCTCACGTCAGTAGAAACAATAGTCCCTTAGTGACACGTGATTCACTCCTTCCTTAGACAAGACAGGGTGGACGGCTTGCTGGGGCGCTCACCCCCAAAACTCTCAGGCCAGAGGACGGCTCTGAATCACAGGGGCTTACCTTTCTAGTGAATGTGTCTGCCATTCTTGTAAAAGCAAATCTAAAAATTCAAAACAGCGCCTGAAACGTGGCAAGAAACACAGAACTTAGTAAGGTGTCTGCTGGAGAAACTAAACAGCTTTCCGCTTCGGCCAGTCAGTCTATCCTGTGAGTAAGTTTCATTTAAGGGGGAGAAGAGGAAAAGGAGTAAAGAAGAATCAGAAATAAATAAAGACTAGGCCAACAAGGTGGTTTTGAGGGTCTCACACACACACACACACATACACGCACACACACGCACACACGCAGCAGAAGACAACTTCTGAGGGTCCTGGGGATGAACTCGGCACCTTACCCACTGACCATCTTGCCAGTCACAGAACATTTTACTGATTCTGGACCAAGAAGCAGCTGTTACTTAAATAATAACAACTTCAGATTCGAAACTTTATCCATGGAAGGCGATCTGGGGATCATCTTGTTTTTCAGACGCTGACAAGACAATGAGGAGGAACTTTCAACACGTACCTTCTAACTGCGACAGACTTGGAGGTACAGTTGCTCGTTATGACAGGAATTAGCCGAGGGATGTGTGTGTGCTGCGGAGAGAGGAGAAAACAGGTGAGCACTGGAACACAGACGGACAAGACGCAACAGATGACCTCACGGCACATGGAAGCTGGGTCTAGAATGTCTGCTGGCCAAGGGAACAGGCCATTAGAGAACTGGCAGAGATGCCATATGAATCAGTCGGGAGTCACAGCAGTCTGAGGAAGGAGGCCTAACGCATGCTAGCAGCTGAGACAGCGTGCATTCATAGGGCCTCATCGTGCTGCGCCATCCTGACACTGTCTCAATGGAAAAATACAATGGCTCTGGTTTTAATATTACAAGTAAGAGCAAACACAAACAGTAAGAATGAAAATAATACTAAACATCCTTTGGGGATAGAGCACATCCTGCAGAGTTTCAATTTTTTTAAATTATATTTATTTATTTACTGTGTATGTGCATGAGTGTGTGAGTGTGTGCGTGTGCTTGTGTGTGAGGGCACATGTGCAGAAGTCAGCGGCAACTTGTGGGAGTTGGGTCTCCCTCCACCACGTGGGTCCTGAGGATTGAACTCGGGTCCTCGGGCTTGGTGGTAGGCAGCTGCCGAGGGTGGCAGAGAGGAGGATAAACTACTCTTCCTGAAAGCACACATGAGGATTATCAATACCTGGCCGCTGCTTACATCAAAGTAAGTGCTAGAAAACTCAAGCAAAGAAAGAGTTCCAGTTCCTTGCATGCTGCAATTAGTAAAATGAGTTTCAGGTAAGCAGAAGCCATAAGCACAAGTAGCTAACATGGAAGAACAGAAGTGATGGAGGCGAGAGTCAAGTACTTAGAACCAACGGCAGGTTGACAAAGGCGTGCCTGTGAGCGGCTGCGCCAGCCCACAAGACACAACACAAATCCTGCAGTGTGGCCGCCCCCATCGTGGGAGAGAGACACTGCTCAGGGGCAAACAGATGGCGATGGCACAGACACACCCCGGGGGGAGGGTTGCTATATCCCACCAGCCAGCGGGATCCACCGCTCTTGTTCTTCATAGGTGGCCCCATGACATACTTACCCGAATGATTAGCCTGACAGCTACAACACCAGAAGTAGCCATAATTTTGGCACTGTTTGGGATTAAATTAAAGATAGTTGGCATAATGGCTTCAGCTCCATGATCAAACTTGTTTCCCAGAACTGACGACAGATGCCTGCAACAAGAAAGGAGCAGCTGTAGTCACGTCCTCACACACAGGGAAGCACAGACTCTCCACAGTTGACAGCCCTCCTTCACAGTTCTCTTCGAGGTCAAGCAAAGAACCCGGTGAAGCCATCAACCAACAAATGTTTCTTAACCATTTCCAAATAAGTATTACAAGAGCAAAATCACCCCTGCCAAGACCAAAGATGTACTAATAAACATGGACCATGAACCCAATGCTTGCCCCGTCTGATTTTATTTTTGTTTCGCATATAAAACATGATGCCAGGATCTGCCTGCCCTAAAACTTTATACAGTTACCATGCTTGCCAGCCGCTGTGACTACTTCTTTAATATTCTGAAGCATGCAAACACAGCACTTAAGTTTGGCTTAGACAGTATTGCAGTCCTGTTGTTCACTCTCTCTCTCTCTCTTTCCAGTCCCGAGTACTGCAGGGCTCTGCACGACAGGCGTGTGCTCCAGCACCACCGGCACCCAAAGGCCTGCACTTACTTCATTCTATAGCACTCTTCAAGAAACAAACACGAGGCCTAACGCACATATACCCTGCAGGCTAAAGTCATGAAACAATCTCACATACAGAATTCCATAGGATTTCATTTCTCTATTAGTAGTACGATAGAGGCATCAGAGATATGCCAGTGAGGATAATTTAAAATCCAACGCTGTACATAACTGGGAAGCAGCTACTCTAACAGAAGTGTTAACAGGCTAGGGTCTTGCAGACTGGCGAGAGGTGAACCCGCTGACATGCCTGAGCAGTTATCTCTAAGAACAGTGCGGGTGAACAGAGCGCATCGCACGCAGTCCTTACCCCAATGTGATGCAAGCTTCCCGCACTACCTGAGACCGCAGGTCCTTAGCAGAGAGTTTGAAGGCTCCATCCAGAAGACGCAAGTGTTGAAAGAAGTTATCGTACTCGGCAGCCCCAGCCAAGAGTAACGACCTCATCTTTTTTAGCTAATGGGATGAGAAAAGTCAGAGGTGTGGGAAACAATGTTAAACACTGAAACTACATAACAAAGAAGCCATCAATATAATATAAATAAAAGTTAACTGATGATAGGAACAATTTTTTTAAAGAAAAGATTTGTGTGTGTAGTTTATGTGTGTGTGTGTGTAGTTTTGTCTGTGTGTGCATATGACACATTTATGTAGGTGTCTGCTGAGGCCCAAGAGGGTGTTAGAGGCCCTGGAACTGGAGTTACAGGTGGCTATAAGCCACTGATATGAATGCTGGGAACCAAGCTAGGGTCCTCAGTAAGCTTAACTGCTGAATTTATATGTCTAGCCCCTAGAAACTATCTTTGCAAAGACAACTAGACAGCTAATTATTACCTAATGTACAATGAACAAACTAAATCACAACTAAGACTCCATTTTAAAATGCAGTACCCGTAATAAATGATTTTCTTAAAAACATTTTAGGTGTATGTGTGCGCCTGCGTGAGTCTATGTGCAGTACAAGCACACAGGGGCCTATGGAGGCCAGGAAGGGCATTTGTTCCCAGAACGGGAGGACGAGCAGCTGTGCTCTAACTGCTGAGCCAAGCCAGCTCTCGAGCCTTTAAGCTGCTGAGTTTGTCTTGTTTTTGTTTTTTATTTGTTTGCTTGCTTTTTAGACCACATCTCTCTATGTAGCTCTGGTTGTCCTAGAACTCTCTATGAACACCAGGCTGGCTTTAAACTCATGGAGATCTGTCTGTCTGCATGCCTGTCTCTGCCTCCCAAGTGGCATGTGCCACCACTCCCAGCAACTTGGTGTGTTTTAAAAACAAAAGTAGGGCTGGGTGTGGGAGCGCATGACCATTAAGTCCACCATTCCACATGCTAAAGCAGGAAATCCCAAGTTCAAAGCCAGCATGGGTTACATAGCATGTAATTTTTATCATTAATTCTTGTCAACTTGACATAAACTAGAGTCATCTGGAAAGAGGGAATCTCAACTGCCTTCATCAGATTGGCCTGTGGGTATATCTTTGGACATTTTCTTAACTGACAATTGATGTGTGAGGGCCTAGTCCACTGCAGGAGGTAATGCCCCTGGGCAGGAGGTCCTGGGTTCTCTAAGAAAGCAGGCTGAGCAAGGCATGAGACCAGCAGCAGCCCTCCAGTCTCTGCTTCAGATCTCCCTCCAGGTTCCAGCATTCAGTCCTGCCCTAGCCTCCTTTAGCAGTGGACTGTAACCCATGAGACAAAGAAATCCTTCTTTTCCAAGCTGCTCTTTATCATGGGGTCTATGCAGCAACAGAAAGCAAACTAAGATGTAGTGAGACTACCTTGAAATAAACTCAAAACCAAAACTCACAGCAAACAATAAAACCAAATGAGGTAATTTACCACAAAAGTAAAATGTACAGATGGTAACTGACGTGCACGGGAATAGGTAAGCACGCAAACAGGTGTGATGGAAGCCAGGACAGCGGCACTTACAGCATTGACCCTCTGCTCCCAGTCATGCTTGTCATCAGACAGAATTTCTCTGATTTTGTTTATCGATTCCTCGAGGTCTCGGCTGGAGTAAATCTGGAAGCAAAATTAATTTATACTTGACAAAAGACAATGTACAAAATTAAGATGAATTTTAAATACATGACGTCAAGGAAGCAGAATAAAAGCAACGCTCACTCCAAGTGAGGAATTCTCTGGGCAAGCTCATCTTAGTGAGCCCATAGCCACAGTCAACGGGAACTAGCTTTGCTGCCACGCGCACACAGCCTTGCTCTGGACATCTCTACTAGAAATGTAGCAAGGGAATTTGTGTACAGAGAAAGAAGGCAACAGAGATGCCTTCATTAGTCATTGTTCGTTTTTTAAAAAAAAACTTATTACTGAATATATATGGGGGAACAAGAGGTGGGGCAAGTGTGCCATGGTGCACCGCAACTTCAAGCAACCACTCAACTTCTCCTGAGATTCAGGAATCAAATTCAGGTCATCAGGTGTCTGGAGCATCGCCTCACAGGCTCTAACTATCGTCCTGAGCCAGCCTGCAATCATCTGAGAAGGAAGCATCAGCCGAGGGACTGCCTAAGCTAGACTGGCCCGTGGGAATGCTGGTGTGGAATTGTCTAGATGGTTGATTGATGCAGAGGGGCCCAGCCCACTGTATCAGCAGCAGAGCAGGGGCTCCTGGACTGGCTAAGAAAGCTAGCTAAGCATGGGCCTGAGAGAAAGCAGCAAGCAGCATCCTCCATCACTCCTGCTGGATTTCATTGGTTGTGAGTGAATTTCCTGGGTAGGTACAGTTGTGTGAACAGCGTGCAGGCCCGCCATTTAATTCCTGCCTCGACTTCCCGCAATGACGGGATGTGATCTGGAATGAGCCAAATAGATCCCCTCCTTCGCTACTGCCGTGGTCAATGTAAGGGAAACCACTGCACCAGCTTACAGAGCAAGCTCTTGAATTCTCACTTAACACTTTCAAATCTACTCACTGGTCCTCAATTATACCGCAAGACTTCAATCAAGAGGCTAAGGATGAGCCTGACACCTGATGGACACTAGGCCCCCAGGTGGCGAGGATGAGCCTGACACCTGATGGACACTAGGGCCCAGGTGGCAAGGATGAGCCTGACACCTGATGGACACTAGGGCCCCAGGTGGCAAGGATGAGCCTGACACCTGATGGACACTAGGGCCCAGGTGGCAAGGATGAGCCTGACACCTGATGGACACTAGGGCCCAGGTGGCAAGGATGAGCCTGACACCTGATGGACACTAGGGCCCAGGCGGCAAGGAGAGCAGCAGGAGGTGACCTAGCAAGTGCTGCAGGACATCACAGCACCACACAGAGAACCAGGCCCAGTCAGAACAGAGGGCAGGCCCCAGTCCTTCATTTGTTAAGTGGAGCATCCAAGATAGTGTAAACCAGGCTTCTACGAACCACACTCTTCGGTGTTTTAGGTGTCAAAACTTGATTCACATTTCCAAGAAAAAAAATCTTAAAATATATGTCTTTCTTCTCTAACCAATCACCAATGTCTCTTTTCTGTGACCCGATAAACTAACTTCCTGCACAGAGACATCTTTCCTGTTCTGGAGATATCAAACAGGACCAGGCCTTCTGTTCTTGTCTGTTCTTGTTCTTACAGGGCTCCCACATTCTCTAGTCTGTCCCTGAGGTTTCACACTGCAAGGTAAAGGACTCTGCAGTGGTATCAGGCTCTGTACATGAGTGAGCCCCAAGGCCCACCGTGTGGAACGGTGAGGAGCCGGGTGTGTGGCTGACAGGCGGTGGGCCCTTTAAGGCCTTTGATCCGTGGGGAAGCAATTCTGAGAAGGTTGTTATGAGAGCTTGAGCTGACTCCACCCAGGCCGCTCTCTGTTGGTCTGACGGGAGTTGCCTGCTGTCCCATGGCCATCTACCCGACACCATGAAGCATTGCTGTCGAGGCGTGGTTCTCGAGCCTGCTCCATATACTCTGTACTTTGGGGCTCCAAAGTTATGAGCTGAATGGATCTTTTCACTTTAAAAACCTAGCTGCCTCGGGCATTTCACTGCTGTAACACAGAGCTAACTGATATGGGTACCGGGTTGTGAAAAATGAAACCTGAAGACTTTCTAACTTGGTCTCCAAAAAAACAAACTTATTTCTTTTTCTTGTGTGCCTGTGTATGTGTTGTGTGTGTCATATTTATAGGTTCCTGCGGAAGACAGAAGAGGGTGTTATATATGCTGCAGCTGGGGTTACAGGCAATTGTGAGCCATTACTCGAGTCACTCCCCTGCCGTCAACAGCAGCGCAGACACACTGACCTGCACTACGGGCACATCATCAAAGGCTTTAATGAAGTCCTCTTCATCCACAGCGCCAGCACCTTCTTTTGCAGCTGTTAAAACAAAGACAGCATGAACTCCACACTGTAAAAAACATACTACAGAACTGCACATATACACAACTGAAACTGAATTCTGGAACATTTAAAATGCATAAGACAGATTGATTTCACTTATGTGCATGAGCTTGCGTGTAGTTGTGTGCATTGTGCATGGGTGCACACAGAGGCCAGAGAGCACTGGAGCCTCTGAGCTGCTCACAAGCAGTTGTGGACCGCCTGATGTGAGTACCAGACGCCAACTCTGGTCCTCTGCAAGAACAGCCAGTACAGTCACCGCTGAGCCATCTCTCTGGTCCCTCACATCTTTAGCTATCAGTTCAAGTTTCTCCCACAAAGCTGAGTTAAAATGCCTTGTAGCTGGGAGGTGGTGGTGCACGTCTTTAATCCCAACAATCAGAAGGCAGTCAGAAAAATCTCTGTGAGTTTGAGGCCAGCCTGGGCTACAGAGTGAGTTCCAGGATAGTTAGGGCTGTTACACAGAGAAAACTGGAAGGAAAAAAAAAATCCTTGTACACTTAAAACAAAGGCAAATCTGGCCCCATGGGGGCTTCCGGAAGGACTGGTGAGGAAAATGTATTTGGATCACATTGAGACTGTCTGACCACTCCATGTAGCCACAGAAAGAAATGCCAGGCATGGGAGTGAACCCCATACGTGACAATTCTGTTTTTTATTCCCTGTGCTCATCCTTGAAGTGCCAACAGTGACATATAGAGATTAGCATGTCTGCTCTCTTAGCTGCTAGGGCTCTGCTGGACCCGCTAGAGAAAATAAGACAACAAACGGCCAGCCAGGTGGAGTAAACGTGCTCGCACGACAGGCAGCGATGCAGAGCCATGCTCCTCGTGCTTTGCCATGGCTGGAGCAGTGAGAGCGCGTGCGTGGGAGGAGCTATGGTCCCTGAGACCACAGAAGCCACAGACCAGAAACTTGAATGCACTCAGGGTCATGGTGCTAAGCAAAGAATGAGGACACAGCTGAGGGCAAAGCCAACCCAGTGGAGGCTCCGGTGGGGGGAGGCATTAGGGGAAAGCAGAAGGGCAGGTGAGACGGCTTAGCAGACAGAGGAACTTGCCACCAAGGCTGACGATCTCAATTGCTCCCTGAAACCCACATCACAGAAGCAAAGAACTGATGCCCCAAAGTTGTCCTCTGACCTCTGCAATCATGCCCAGGCATACAGATGTGTATATGTACATACGCGTGCGCACACACACACGGTCTTGATACAGCTTCAAGGGAGGTGAATGAGACACTGACAATATTCCCCTTCATAATAGCTGAAGAGATGGCTCAGAGGTCAAGAGCACGTACTGCTCTTGCACAGAACCCAGACTGGTTTACAATCCTCTGTAACTCCAGTTCCAGGGGACCTTATGCTGCAGGAACAAGATATGTACGCAGTGACACACATACATACTAGCAAACATTCATGCACATAAAACAAAAGTAAATCAATCTTTTAAAATGTGAATTTTATGTTAAATAAACTCAACAGTAAAAACAACTAGCAAGAATAACCAACATATGAAGCAAAGTAACGCTGCTCTTCCTGTGGCCAACAACACAGCTTCCAGGGCAGGATGCTTGGGTTGGAGAGACACAGCAGCACCTTGTGGATCCAGTCAGGATACTGTCATTCCAGGACAGACCACCAGGGGGCAGCACTCCTGCGCCTCCTCCCTCAGGCTTTCACAGCTGTGGCATCTAAACTGCATTGCCAGCTCATCAGCATCAACAGAGAAGTACCAGGCCAATCAAAGACTGCAAGCAAGAATGTGCCCGCAGGGCGAGTTCATGCCTGGGGGCATGGTAGGCAAGTATGATGACAAAAGATCCCAGAACACCACACAGGACGTCACACAGGATGTGGTCTTACCTGAAGACTTAGATCCAAGACTGGACGACACGAGCCGACGGGTCCCCATGCTAACATTCCTTCGGGAACTAGATGGAGCCTTGGATGAGGAGGAGCTGGCAGAAGAAGGCCTGTTTCCATCCACAGAATCCTCATCATCAAAATTTTTATCTAAAACAGAAGCACAGAAGCCACAGTTTAAAAACTGTGTTTTCACTGGGTGACGATGGTGGCGCACGCCTTTAACCCCAACACTCGAGAGGCACAGGCAGGTGGAGCTCTGTGAATTCAAGGTCAGCCTGGTCTACAAAGCAAGTTCCAGGATAGTCAGGGCTGTTATACTGAGAAACCTTGTCTCAAAAAAAATCAAAACAAAATTCTATGTTTTCACCTATACATAGAACCATCATCAGTTTTAAAAACACAGGTTTGCATGACTGACTGGTATGTAAGGTCCTGGGAGAGCCTAGAATGCAACCACGAAGATGGTGTTTACCTTCAGGGAGCTGGAATGCTCGCCCACTCCGATCCTTTCTCTACACATTGTTTTCCCATTTGTAGGTTTTAGTGTGTGTGTGTGTGTGTGTGTGTACTCATGCATGCACATGCACAAATGCGGACACACAGTGCATATGAGGACAGTCTCAAATGTCTGCTCACCTCCCACCTTGTTTGACAGGGATGCTCTTCTGTGTTTTTCCACTGCTGTCCCATGAACCTCGGGACCTCCCTGCCTCTGGCTCCCTCACAGGAGTGCTGGGATTACAAAGATTTGTGCTATTTGTCCAGCTTTTATGTGGGTTCTGGGGATTTGAACTCAAGTTCTCATACTTGAACTCCAAGTGCTTTATGCATTGAGACATCTCCCTAACTCCATTTTTTCAGCCCCCATCATCACCACACAAATACAGGGTCTTGCTCTGTAGCCCAAGCTGGCCTCAAATTCATGATCCTGAAAGTCAGGATTACTGGTGTGTGCCATCACGCCTTAGAGCACATGCATTTTTTAAAAAATTATAGCTGGACAATACACCTCCTTAAAATACTAATTTATTTCAATTTTTTTCTTGTGACAAAGCTATTTTTAATGGCTGTAAAGTATTGTGGGTGGAAATGTCTAAGACAGCTACTATCAGGTAGTTTAGCTACGTAATACCTCACCAGTAGAGACGGGGTTGTAAACTGGCCAGATGACTTGGTGGGTAGAGCCACCTGCCACCATGCCCAATGACCTGAATTGGATCCCCAATATCCATATGTTGAAGGGACAGAACTGACACACACAAACTGTCCTCTGACCTCCACAGAAGCACCATGGCACCCATACTCATGAGTATGCGCGTGTGCACACACACAAAATAAGTAAATAAACAAAAATGTAAAAACAGAGAAGGAAATATGACTGGAACAAACACCTTCCAATGACTAGTTTTTTGTTGGAATTTTAACCAATTTTATTACTGGGTCAAACCGCATGAAAGTGCTTCCTGGTACTACTACGTTTATCCTCTGAAAGCCAGAGAAGTGCTCGTTTGCCTGGAAAGTCAAGGAAGTGCCATCCTGCCCCCACCTCCATCATCACCGGTTACCGTTCACAAGCACGCCAGTTAGATGGAGGAAAAGCATGCTTTCCGGGCTGTGTTCCTTTAATGGAGCAGAGTATGTTTTCACGACACTGTTCTGTTTAAACCTTCACCCAGCAAGGCTTATTACCTCCTCTGCCGCATTCAAAATTCAAAAGAAAACGTATCTGTGGTTCTCAAAATGCAATCTATTTATACTCATTTTAGATTTGTTTTTTATTATTATTATTATTATTATTGTATTGGGTGGGCATGCACGTGCCATAGTGCACATGTGGTCAGAGGACAACTTTTGGGAAATAGTTCTCTGTTCCACTGTGGGCTAGGGGATGAATTCAGGGTGTCAGGCTTAGAGCAAGCACTTTATACTGAACTGCCTCGCCAGCCCTATTTATAAACACTTTAATTATACAAATTAAAGTTTATGAACCAAATCCCAAGGGCTTGTGCGTCATTAAGGATGCTAACATGAACTTGGAGAGAATAAGAATGAAAAGGAAGACTAACAATGACTGCCGAGACAGAAGAAAGAGGGCGGGCAAGGGCTCAGCAGGTAGACACTGGCTGCCAAGCCTAACAGTCTGAGTCAATCATGGAACACACATGGAACTGGTCATCACAAGTTGTCTTCTAACCTTCACATGTGTTCCACAGCACTGCCTATGTGCATGGGTGTGTACACACACACCAAAAAAATTTAAAACACAATGGGTGGCACCTAATAAAAATTGATCATTCGCCTCCATAAATACATGCACATATATGCACCTACCCCAACGCCCCTACACACACAGATTAAATTCCTTTACATTTACATGCACACACACATTTATTTAGCAAGTTTATAAAATAGTGGGTTTTTCAGACACTCTTACAGTTGGTTATCCCTTTTCCAAGTTATGTGGGCTAATTCCCCTGGAACTGATGGTCAGAGGTGTCCACAGACCCCCAAAACAATACAGACTATAGTCATTCTCTTGACTGTCTACGAGAACTTGATGGTAAACCCTCTCACTGCAGACACATGGCATGGAGATACCACTCTGTACTGACAGGAAGCTTCCTCCCTAGTGGCTAGTACTAGAAAGTGCTGTGGAGGCTGCTGGAGTTGGCAGGGGGTCAGAAAGAGTCTTACTGGGCTATGAACCAAGTGACTATAATAATGACCAGCATCACAAGATAGCCCATGGGTACAATAGTGGCATGAATGTTATGGAGTTACCAAGTACTTTCTAATTAGATATCAGGCCTGCTCCACAGGAGGAGATGCATGCCTGGTATTGTAAATCTGCCCAAGAACCGAAGGCTGGGCGCTAGCTCACAGGCCTCAGGGGGTGGACCTACAGCTATTATTTTGTTAAATGAATACAGTATCAATCTGTTGTCTAAATTCTTATCTTTCTACTGATGGATTAGTGCAGTTCTCAGATCTCAACAAAGAAATTTCTTTGTGCAGAGGGTGATGGTTAACACAGAAATGCGCAACTCACCAAAGCACAGAGACTAAATGACTGGAGAGTGCCTACTCACAAATGGAACCTTTAAATCACACCCCTACCCAAGACTGCGGCACCATCATGGACGGGGCAGAAAGATCCCAGAACTGAGATTAGACTGGTGCAATGCGGCATCTACTGCACGTAACAGGACCACTGCACAAGACCCACACAAGATCAAGCCAGCCAGCACTCCAGCATGGAGTCCCACTGCAACTGAGGAGCTGGCTTCTGCGGGGAGGGAACCAGTTGTCCAGAGGAGAGGCTCCAGTGGATGGCCCATCACCACAAGTATACTGGCAGCAGAAACTGAAATTGGAGGGTTATTAAATTAAAAAAAAAAAAAGACACAAAGTTGGGGGAGCAAGGAGATGGCGGTGCACCTGGGAGGGTTTAACGAGGAGCTGGGGTGAATATCATCTAAGTATAGTGTATGAATTTCTAAGTGAATAAAATAGTAATTTTTTCCAAAGGAGGAGGAGGAGGAAGGAGGGAAAGAGGGAGTGAGTTTGGACAATCAGAAAGGAGCCCAGTTTCAGTAAACTGGAAAATTCTCATCTGTAGAAAGGATCATTCCTTAAAAGGCAAATGGGCCATTTACTTAAGTGACTGGCGACAGAGAGGCTCCAGAGATGTCCCAGATGCAGAGAGGCAGTCCTAGGTTCTTGACATATTTCAGTATTACTCAACTAAATCACAATGCACACTGCTACCTGTTAGCAACTGCTTTGTTTTTGTTTTACAAGATAGGATCTCACTATGTAGCTCTGGCTGTCCTGGAACTCACTGTATAGACCAGGTTGGCCTGGAACTCAGAGATCTGGCAGTCTCTGCCCCTGCCTCCTGAGTGCTGGGATCAAAGGCCTCCTCCACTACACCGGGAGTGCCCAGCTTCTTCAGGGTGTCAGCTAAGCAGACTGCTCTTGGAGTAAACGTGTGGAAAGGAGTATTTCCAACTGTGCAAGCTTTGCTATCACACTAGGTTCGGGTTTTCACACACTGGATGCTACCCACAGAAAATGGCCTTCCAGAAATATACATTCTCCTGGCCTGAAGAGAGAATCCATTCTATCTTCAGCCACCAGTGGGAACACGACTTTCCCACAGCTACTCCCGCTGTCTTGATCTCAGGAGAGGAACCAGGAGTAAACTAACTGAAGCCGTCAGTCCCCAGCCACCTTCAATTCTTCAAAGTTGCTTGAGCCTCATCTCTCCTCCCACAGCACTGGGACAAGACATTCCAAAGGCTTGTGAGGTTTCCACAGAAAGGCAGTGAAGCTCTCGCCTAACCCTCAGTAACACCCTCCTGGCAAGTCCATTCAAGATAAACCTGAGCTCAAATGGAAAGGTCTGTTGGTGAGAAACAGCAGCAAACCAGTGTGCCTCTTGGAGAGAAGATGAGTCTAAGACAACAGAGGAAAAAGAAAAGGCCAGAGTACACAGTCATCTAGGAACTTAGAGCCAAACCAGCAGAATGAGAGCTACCAGTTAGTTCAGCATGGCCTCTTGAGAACTGGATCTTAACCAGGAAGTGTGGTGGCACCAAGTCCCACACAAATGTCGTGCAGCAAAAATAATGAACAAGGGTCAGCAAGATGTCTTAGCAGCTCAGGGTGGTTGCTGAGCAAGCCCTGAGTTTGATCCCAGGAACCCATACAAAGGAGGGAAAAATCAGTTTCAGAAAGCTGTCCTCTGACTTCTCTATGTGCATATGCACACACACACACACACACACACACACACACAATCAACTCATAAGATAATAGTCAGAAAGACCATCCTGGCCTAGAGGTGAGCGGAGATGTCAGTCTGACACAGAAGTCAAGTCTGGCTGAGGAAGTCAGAACTGTAAGCTCTGGGTTCTTCTGGAGAGCTTCAACATTCTCATTCAGAAGAAACAAAACATCAAAATGTGTGTTCAATGCTCATCTTCAGGAGGACCAGGACCTAAATGAAGTGGTCCTGTCCTCTCTTTGGGCAGGCTTTGATGGGGGAAGCCCACAGAAGGAAATGTCTGGGCTCTCTGAAGCCGATCTGTACCAGTGGCGGGATCCCAGCAGCCTTCTCCTCGCCATCCTCGAGACAGGAAGAA